GGTGGCGTGGCGACTAGGAAAGATGGGGCCTCGGGTCTGCGCGGGCGCGTGTCCAATTGTCCAAAAGAAGTCTTGGCCATATGTGCGATAGCGGGGTCAGAGAAGGCTCGTGCGGGCATGGAGGATGCAGCTGTGTGGTGCACGGCGCTGTCGTAGTGGCCTATGCTTTCGAGTTTTCATGGCTTGGAAACAGCAACATGAAGGCCGGGTAAGCTGTGTAACAAGGCATCGGCTTATGGTCAGCATGCTTATAGGTTCAAATGCCCAAGAGTGCTTGGCTTGTGTTCAAGCGGAACTGTGTGCGTACGTGTGTGTGCAAGTGTCCAGGTGGTGCCATGCCAAAGATACGTGCAAGACGTGTTATGGCTTGTGTAGGTGCTTGGTGAGAGGCCAAAGGGGCTCGGCATGTCCACCTAGAGCCATGCTCGTGCGCTGAGATGGCGGGCAGTCAAGAAGGGCATCTCCACGATCCGCGTGGCAGGTCGCGCGGTGGCGCGTGCAAGAGCTCGCGACCAGCGGCGGCAAACGATGAGGCGTCGGCGAGGGTGATTCTCGACAGCGCGTCCTCGCGACGTGAGGTGGCCGGAGAGGGCAGGGGCATCTCCGCCATAGGGGCGACATGGGAGCACGTGACTCCGGTGAGGCGGGGATGGGCGTCGGCTCCCGGGCTTGTCTCAGACATCCAGCCAGCGCACGGTACGTCTCACGTCGAAGCAAGGCTAGTCCAGGAGCTCGCGTTGCTTCTACTATCTCAGGGCGGCCGGAACACAGCGACGACGGTTGACGGGGCATGGTCTTGACCATGACGGTCATGGCGGTCAGGATGATCACGCCGGCGTTCTCCAACACTGCATGTCGATTTGGCTTGGCTGGTCAACTGCTCGTGCGTGCTCGTGATGTGAGTGTCCAGGAGCGGAAGAGCTCCGCCTTCGCGTCCCCTCGGCATGGGAGCGTGCGGCACCACGGCGGGTCTCGGTATTCACGGCGAGCAAGGGATTGTGGTGGCTCACCGTTTGTGGCGGCGAAGAGAGGATGGCGGTGCAGGGCGAGGTGCTGCCGTGGCGAGGCGACGAGGTGACGGCTGGTGGCGGCTCGATGTGCAGCACGGCGAGGACATGGCCGCGGCGGTTGCAGCTTCGTCGAAGACCGTCGAGGCATGGGCGATGTCGCACTGTGACGAGGAGGAGACAGCGTGGTGTCCGGCCGGAGGGCGCGGTCGTAGTGCTGCGGCTCCGCCTTGGTGCACAGGTCGGTGCAGCGAAGACGACGACGTCGAGCGGGCTTTGGGGGTACGGTCGCGTCTCCGTGATGGCTCTACGGCGATGAAGGCATGGCGTCGATGGTGGAGACGCCGGGGGTGCTTCGGCTCGGCAACGGCTCGCGGTGGCGGCGTCGCAGTGCAAGCGCGCGGCTCCGAGACAACCCGAGCTCGGCGCAAGGCGGTTCCGCGGCGACGGCGACGTCGTGCACCTACCGCCAGGGCACGGCGTCGACCTGAACGGCCCCTCGGGTCTTTGCTATGGCGCGCTGGCGGCTGTGTGGAGGAAGGGTGAGGGCGAGGCGTGGCGGCGGGCATGGCTTTTATAGCTCTCGAGCTAGGGTTCGCGGAGGCCGGGGCATGCTACGGGCGGCGGTGATCATTGGGGTGCGGCCGGCCGGACGCGTGGCGCCCATCCGCGAAGCGGGGTAGGTGAGCAGAGCTGGGAAGCTTCTGGAGTGCTCTAGAACGGGCGCCGGGCTCGCCAGCTTGCGGTACGGTTCGAGGGCATCTGTGGCTTGCGATGCGGGTCCGTGTCCTGGTGGCGTCGCGGCGGGTTTGTTCAGTCCAGGCGGGGTCTGCGGCTGTGCTCTCGTCACGCGAGGTAGGCTCCAGGGCGGGGTGCAAGGGGCATCCGAGGGCGACGCGGTGGCCTGCTTCCTTGCTCTGGACGCCAGCGGAAAAGAGGAAAAACAAAGGCAGAGCGGTTAAGACGACAACGCTGGATAGAAAAAGGTAGACGGAGGCTTCGGGTTCCTTCTCTAGTGCGACTGACGTGTAAGCCCAGGGGAAACAGCGGCATGCAGCTCTCCACACGCGAGGAGCGGCGGCAGCTTGCGCTGCGTTGTGCGTGCAGCGCATGCGAGAGCAGGGGAAGGTGAGCTGGGCTGCTGTGGGTACCCAGGTTGGGCCACGATGGTGGACTGGGCTGCACACTTGCTGTTGGGGCATTAGTATACGTATGTGTACATGATCTTATATACATGTATACATTGCACGGTGGCTTGTGTAGTGCATTCCAGATGGCTTCCTAATTACGTGGTTCCTGTAGAAGCCACAGGCACACGACTACAGGAGCATGCAGCTTCTATACGTGCTCCACGTTGTTTGCCAAATAGGCGCAGGAGCATGCACGCTTGTGCAGCCCACTAGCCAAGGATTTAGGAGAGATGATTTACCAAAAATTGACGCTAGGGTTCATGAGGAGTGCGCCGGTGTTCGTGGCGTTGATGCAACAGCCGGTACGACCCGGCGATCACCCTAGGGCATGGGCAGGTGAGCGAGCTAGGACGGTGCAAGACAGGGAGCGTCGGGGCTTGGTCACGTCGATCCAGGGCGCGGTCAAAGGCGAAACGTGGGCAGGGTCCGTGTCCAAAGGGTGTCAAATTAGGTCAAGTGATATTTGGTCCGAGGATTAAGAGGTGTTTCTACATTGAGGGGAATTTAGAATAATCCCGAGAGGGATAAAAGGGGAGTTGCTACGGGTTGTGCTCTCCAACAAGACGAGACTCAAACACGAGGCAACAAAAGAGCACCGACACACTTTTACAAACAGTTCTACATGAATGCAACGTTTTGTCAGCGGGTTTGACTCGTGTTTGACCTAGTGTCTACATGCTTCACACAATTTACAAGAAAAATTTTGAAAGCTCGTATTTTTTTTGTTTTCCAGAAAATTCCGGGTTGTTACACTTGTCGTCTTGCGAGATCACACCAACCGCGTTTGTGGTGTGGCCGCCGCCGTGTACTAGAGGGAACAAAGCCCATAGCGTTTTGGCCGGTAGCTTGATAGTGAAGACGGCGGGGAGCATCCGAGAGAGGCTTGCCGGAAGGCACGTCGGAGACCCACTTGCGCGTGGGAAAGGCCCGAGGCTATCCACGGAGTTACCCGACTGGAAGCTTGGCCCTTGTGAGGGATTCCTTGCAAGGGGCTCCAATGAGGAATAGGGGGAAGCTTGTGCGCTTCTCGATGCCTGGGTAAAAATACTGGAGTCATCGACGGGAGTTTGCATATCTCTACCTTGCTCTTTAGCTTCGGCATTTATATTGTATACATTACTTCTTTTGCGGTAGAGATAGCAACACACTAGCAAAACCATAGTTGCACATTTAGATAGTTTATCTTTTGCATAGGTTTTGCTAAGGGTAGAAAAAGAGGCCATAGTTTAGAGTTAGAATTTTAAGTTACCTAATTCACCCTCCGTCTTAGGTGTCGCGGTCCCCTTCAAAGAATACACCAGGAGCCATATGCAGCAACCCACGGCTTAGTACAGTCCCTCGTAGCAGTGTATCGAGAAATAAATCAAATAATACACCAGAACCAGGATGTTTGCTGATGGATCTCGCTACCACATGACTCCCTCAACCTTGTTGCCGCTGGATCCTATGGACCTCGCCCCGGTGGAGAGGGCATCGTAGAGGAGGACGGCGCCGGAGGAGATCTTAATAGCAACGGTGAGGATAGGGAGAGGTAGGATGCATTCATATGAGCAGGTTCCAATAGCACCTCGTTCACACAGGAACATGATTAAATAAAATTTGCATAATCTCAAATATGCAGCGATCATCTTATAGTAGTGTTTCTCATGATTATCATGAAATCATTGGCTGAATAAGAAAATTGAAGGAAAAAAGTTATCATCCAGAATAAGATGAAATCATAAACCGCACCTGATAAAGCAGTTGCAGTCGCCTTCTGTTAGCGCGGCATCATCGAGGGCCTCTTCGCAGTCGTCCGACGGCGATCGGCGTCGACGACATGGCTGTCGGACGAGGAGGGGGCATTCCGGCGGCGTCTGTGGGCCGGATTGGCGTCGTGGCGTCCGGCCGACGAGTGTCTGGCGTGCGGCGGCGGGGGGCGACGTTGTGGTGTCCGGCGTCTTTTGCGGGGTGGCGTGGATTCGCGAGAGCGCACCACGGGAAGGACAGGAGGGGCGCGTCGATGTTGGCCTGACGTCGATCGACGATCCGGTTTACGTGGAGATGAAAGATATCTGACCGAGAGAGAGAGGGGCACCGCATGATTGTTTCCTTTCATGCATGATTATTGTTTCCTTCCATGCATGTGGCCTCAGGTGATCGATTTGTTTCCTTCAAAGCAGACGGGGATCGTAGGGATGACAGTTTCTTTTTCTATCGCGCGGGGTATCGCATGGCCGGAAGGGAGGAGCGACCCAAAAAAAAGTTGCACAAAAAAATTGTCTTACTTTTTTTTTTAGTTGTAGGAGATTAGAGCCAATGTCTATTATTATATTCATCGATGATTTTATTTTATTTTTTGACCGAATGATGATTTTATTCTGGCTATTCGCTTGCTAGATGTATGAGAATTACCTTGAAGTCTCTAATTAATACTAGTTATTAGGGGTACGCACGTGCATTCGACACTATACTGAAAAAAAATAATTAGGGGCACGCACATATCACATCACGATTTTTTGTGTCATGCAATACTTGCAATGTGGAACAGTGCAGGAAGATGCTAGTAACTGACCGACCAAGCCATCACACAACAGTAACTTGCGTACGAAAGGTCTGTTTGATCAGAATTCAGAAACAGTGATGTTTCACCGTGCATGCCAGCTACATTATCGATGCAATTCACCACCGATGTACGTACATGCCGCATCATGGCTGTTTGAACACAGCATATATATGTACATGTACACGCATTATATTATTCACAAAAGAAAAGAAGAGTGTATATTTATGGATACGTACGTACTAGTGTGAATTCGTATTCTCACTTGTTCCTCACAAAGAAAACGCTCAGCTCCGGCGCGCTATCGCCGCCACGGGCGGCGGCGTTGGCGCTGCCATCGTCGGGGTTGATCATGTAGAACGCCTCAGAGTCCTTGGACCCGACGACGCGTTCCACGCGGGCGCGCATGTAGGTGAGCTCGCCATCGGGGCAAGCGCTGCTGGGCGTGGCGCGTGCTGCCGCTGCCGCTGCCGCTCCCGCCCTCTCGTCGGGCGGCGGCGGCAGCACCCCGGCGCCCATGGACACGCCGCGGAGCAGGCGCAGGACGTGGCGCTCGTCGTCGGACGCGTCCTTCCGGCGGATGGCGTACCCGGCGCTGCGCCCGTTGCAGTAGACCGCCCAGACGTACTCCTCCAGCAGCGGGCGCCGCCGCCGCCTTGAACCCACGCCGCCGCGGGCGGTGTCGCTCTCGAGCGCCAGCCGCACGGTGCCCGTGGCCATCTCCCGGTGCAGCGCGGCCGCCAGCATGGGCAGCTCGATGAGGAACGCCGGCGGGGCCCGCGTGTCCTCGTGGATGGCCAGGCTCAGCCGCCCGCGCCGGTGCCCGAACAGCGTCACCGTCGGCGCGTGGTCGGCCAGGAGGGCCGGCCGGTTATTGTGGTGCCGCCCCAGCATCGCGGCCATCTTGCTGCCCGTGGTGAGCACGGGCAGGAGCTTGAACATCTTGAAGAGCCCCAAGACGCCGCCGGCCCCGGCCCCGGCCCCCGCCCCCGCCGCCGCCCCGGACAGCTTCGCCCGACGCTCATCGGTGGACGGCCGGAGCAACGACCGCAGCGCAGCCGGGCTGTAATCGATAAGAGATGGCATCGGCTTGGATTGATTGATTCCGGTGGATTTGGTCCAGCTGATGGCTGCAGCTTTCCTCCGATGGAGCTGCGAGCCAGGGGGATGAAGTCGATCGGCCACCTCGTTATAAGTTGTGACGAGGAAGGACGAAGGAGAGCGCTTTGGGATTTGGGCTAATCTTGATCTCAATTCTCAATTGGACGACACAGGTTTTGGGGCTGACATTGTGATCTGTGTCTGGTTCGTAATACTTGAAAGCCAGTCAACTGCAACAAGGACAGATGTTCAGAAAACCATAAAACTGTACGGTTCAATGCTTTTATAAGCACAGGAAGAGGAAGTTGGACAAACTTTCTCGGCTTTCTTTTTCAGTGATGATCGATGAGACTGTAGATCAAGTCAGTGAGTCACTGAAGGCGTTAACTCTGTACTGCGAAACCTATTGTTAGAGTTGGAGGCACAGCTCACTCTCATCGTTGGGCACATGCAGTGTTCGCTGGTGCATCAATGGATGCACACATCGGGCAGCCGTGCTCCTGTTAGGGTTAGGTTGTGGTGCAAAGCCAGTGGGTCAGCGATTCATTGTAACAGTTGTAAGGACGATACGAAGTGCGGACAGATTCTAATGGCCATCCGCCCGTGAATCGCCTTCAGTCGCACAAGGCTGCATACACACCAGATTACCCCTTTTAAATTTCATAATTGGTGACGTTTTGGATAATGACACGGTCTCTAAAACATGTTTTGGATAACAGCACGGCCATGAGTCTTTGTAACACCACTAATAACCGATCTATATCTATATTTATATCTATATCTATCTTATAGTCATAAACCCCACTAGGCATTCTATGTCACCATGCAAGCAGTCCACCTCATCAATCCACTGTCACATGCATTTAATTGTGTTCTTTAGTATGTCACGCCATCCACTACCATTAATTTATAAGTTTATTTTTTCATATAAGTAATTTAGTTTGATTTCATTTTAATTCATCCGTAATTTCCGCAACAACGCGTGGGGTATGCTTTTAGTTAATGATATGTCTTGTCTTATAATAATCCATTACTTTTGTTGCCTTTGGGCCATGCACTGTATAGACATACACAAAATATCTCAGCTCCATAGTCAAGTATAATATATGGATATTTGAATAAGTATGTAATCTGACAAGTACGATGTATCTATGTTTTTTTTCTAGAACTAGTGGAAGGGGCGCGCCCTCGCGCGCCACATCAGTCAGGCAATGACCTGAGAAAAAGTCGGTTGAATAGCAGAAGGGATGGAGCCGGTGATTTCTCCAATCATGATAGTCTAATGAGCTGGATGATTTGGAGCTTTGATTTAGCTGTGACAAAATTGCTCTCCCTTTTTTTTTAAGGGCAAGCCCTTCAGTCAAAAGGTTTTAGATTGAATAGAACTAAAACCGAATACATGAGATGCGACTTTGATGGAGTTGTACAGGAGAAGGGAGATGTGAGTTTAGAATGTCAAGTAGTGCCTAAGAAGGATATCTTTCGGTATCTGAGATCGATGCTACAGAAGGATAGAGATATTGATGTAGACGTTAGCCATAAAATCAAAACATGATTGATCAAGTGGCGACAAACTTCTAGCATTCTCTGTGACAAGAGGATACCACAAAAGTTAAAGACAAGTTCTATAGAACGGCGATTAGACCGGCTATGTTGTATGGAGCAGAATGTTGACCTACAAAGATTCGACATGTTCAACAAGTGAGTGTTGCAGAAATGCGTATGTTGCGATTGATTTGCGGTCACACGAGAATGGACCGAATTCAGAACGATGATATACGTGATCGCCTAGAGGTAGCACCAATTGAAAAAAAGCTTATCCAACATCGGTTGAGGTGGTTTGACCGTGTTCAAAGGAGACCTCCAGAGGCACCAGTGCATTGTGGAGTCCTAAGCCAAGCTAATAATATGAGGAGAGATATAAGAAGACCGAAATTGACATGGAGGCAATAAAAAGATACTTGAAAGCTTAGAATATACATAGATATCTATGTTTGAATAGAAATACTTAGAAAACAGCTATTAAAGTGCCTGACTTGAAACTCTTAGTAGGTTTCAACTCTATCCTAACCTAACTTGCGTGAGACTAAAAGGCTATGTTGTTGTTGTAGTATACGTGTATATAAGAGGACACGTGAATTGTAGTGAGAGTCGTCTGTAAAGAATGTGTAAAAAAGCTGTATATGGCGAGCATTACCATGCAGGTTTTTTATATAGGCTACTGAAAAGTATCATGTTAACAGGTACGCTAGATATGCGCTGGAAAGTTTGGCCACATAATTAGACGCCATACTGTGTAATAAAATAGGTGTACACAATTTACATAGATAGATATTACACATAGGATGGTACATTAATAGGTAAACAGCACAGGAGTACAAATGATTTGTCGCATAATTATACATCATTTGCTAATAAAATAGGTAGGCACAGTATAGATGCAGAGACATTACACATAGGCCCGATTTAAGGTCCTTGGTGTTACGGCGTGTGAATGGATCGAGGCTTATGTAGAAGCTTTCTGTTTTCATTGATACATCAGCTGTGCTTAAATTAGTATGGTTGATAGCGAAGATATCTGCATGAGTGATGGCTAACTCTGTTAAGTATTGAGTGCGGGTTTACCTGGATCGATGAAGTTCTAGGAGATATTGATTTCAGTCATATATATTTGATGATTGCGCTGCATCGATCGTCTGAACTTGAGAACTGCTTGGTTTTTCTGCCCAAGTCCACCGGCTTGGTTTTCCAGTTGGGGATTCAGTCTCCATGTATGTGCCAAGGTACTGGACCTATGTGCATAATGATATATAATTCTAATTTCGAATGCTATGTAGATGTGTTTCAGATAGTTTATAGACGGTACCTTGGACTCCATGAATTTGTGAAATAACCCAATAATGGTAGTATGATGGTCTTCTACGGCAGCAGTAAGTTGATTCATGGCACTTTGCAGATGTCTGATGTTTTCAGTATAGTAGGCTGCCATGGTGAATTCAGATGAAGGTATTGATACAGCAATGGATATGGAATTTTTCATCATAAGCTGAATAAGGGGAAAAAGGCAAATGGTAAATGCTGACAACATTGGATCAACATCAGCAATGGATATCAGGCACTGGGCTACACGGCCATGCACACCATATATAGTTATTTAACTTTAGGACGTAACAATTAATATCTAATTTTAGAATTCAGCAATCAGCTACCTTATTTTAGTCCACAAGACATCTAAGTATATACTAACAAACTTGTAGATTGCGATTTTGGCAAGAGGAGTGGACATTATTAAACGGGCAAGTGCTACAATTTTCCATATTTATAATTGTGATTTGCAATTTTGTTGCAGAACCTAGACATGACCTGTAGCAAATATGTACCTTCACAGTCACACTTTTCTTGGGAATTTTTAGATGCTTCGAGAATCTGACCTGACCATCAAGCTGTAGATGATGAAGAGGCATCACCATCAGCAACACAACAACAATCTTCCAATTGGCCAAAATAAAATGAAGGGGTAAATGGTATAAAACCTGTTCATGAGAAAATATCAGAAAATGACACATGGAAATCTCGATAACTCAAATACGGCATAGAAATAAGTCAACAAGCCTGCTTTTAGACATGAGATTGATGTATGTTCGGGGGTTTTATTGTCCAATTCCTATAGAACCAGAAACTATCAATTGACACAGGCTATAGGTACAATTTTACGTAGAAGCGATTAGGTCTTTAAATACCTAAACGGCATCTTGTGGCAGTTTTGAAATGTTGTGGAGTCCTTTGTAGGACGCCACTATAGGCGCCGGATGAGGAGGGCCACGGCCAGTAGTGGCTAAGGCCTTTTTAGTTTTAGTAAGAGAATAATCAGGGAGGATTTTTAGGATCTAGACTATTGTTTGTTAGGAAGGAAATGCACCTGCACTATAAAGGATGCACTTAGGAATGTAATCAAGTTTATCAAAGAAGAATAGAACCTCCCAGGCGGGTGGGGTTCCTCCTCGACGGTGGCTGCGCAGCAGTTACTGCTGCTTTGCCGCCGGCGACGACCCCCAGCGCCATTGCCCCGCTATCCACTCCGTTCCAATCTCCAGTCCCAGCTCCTTCTCCGTTCTCCCCTGCGTACTCCACGGCGGCGGCGCCGTATCAATTTGGTATCAGAGACCATCTCTGGTGCATCGACTTCCATGTCCGGCACCACTCTTGATCCTGCGGCCATGGACGCAAAGCTCGATCGCATCTTGGGCCAACTCACCACCATCAACAACCGTCTCAATTCCCACGACTATCGTCTAGCGCGCGTGGAGACCAGCAAGATCCACGATGACAAGGGCACCGGCGGGAATGACGACCACAGTGGCGATGACGAGGTGGAGGATGACGCGCACGACATCGAGCGCAACCGCGCCTAGGCCTTGTTTCGCGACCGCGCCCTTCGCGACCGGGACCGCTTCACCCGCGGCGCATTCGGTTGCGGCTTCTCTAGCCGCGGCTACGACGATCGTGGCGGCCGCGGCTACACTGATCGCAGCGGCCGCGGCTATGCCGACCGCGGATTCGACGACTACGACAGCCGCGACTTCAGCCGGTGCGCCCGCAACTTCGGACGAGCAGGCCGCGACCGTGATCAGGATCACGACTACGACCACGGTGGAGACCGCTTCCTCGATCGCCGTCGCGAGCCGCACAGGCCACCCAAAATTTCGTTTCCCACCTTCAATGGGGAGTCGGATCCATTGACCTGGCTCAATAAATGTGACAATTTCTTCCGCGACCATCGTGTTCCAGAAGATGAGAAGGTGTGGATGGCCTCCCTGCACCTCGACGGTACCGCGGCGGAGTGGTACTACCAGATGGAGCGCGACTTCAGCATGGTTCTGTGGCCGTGTTTCGTGGACTTCATCAACCTCTGCTTCGGGCCGCCGATCCGCACCAACTCGATTGCGGAGATCAAGGCATTGATCCGCACAAGCACCGTGGAGGAC